GATGGGTGCAGATGAGCACCTGAAGATTGATCCTGTTGAAGGATGGAGACAGACTTGAGCTCTTGTTATCGAACATACACTTCTGTATTTCTACTAACAAGCTCAGACGTGGCGAGTGACTGCCACAACCAACCAAAGGTGATTCTTATCACCCAAGGCTGAAGACCAGGGACAAACGACAAAACTCACAGCGCAATTTGGGAACTTAGACCACCGATTCGGTAGGAGAATCGACAGGTGGAATACGGACATGTCCGTGTTTCAAGACAGATGCTTCGTGAGGTGAACAGAATAGCCTGGCGGGACAGGAGTCTCGAGCCCCATGCACTGGAGCAGACCTCTCCTCTATCACAAATCCACTGCAGCGACGGCAGTGACCCAGAAATCAGTCAGCAGCCACAGCAGCGGTGAGAATATTCCGGAGCGGAGATCCTCCAGAAGTCAAGAACTCCTTCTGTGTTTGCAGTAGCAGTAGCAGTGTAAGTGGGTGGTGCAGCGTATGGTGTGTGGTGTGTGCATCCCTCCTCTTTGCGTCCTTTCTCACCTCCCACCCCCCTCTCTCCGTCTCCCTCTCTCCGTCTCCCTCTATCCTCGAACTCTCCCTCTCCTCCACTCTACCTCACCCTCCCTCTCTCCCTCTCTCCCTCTCTCCCGCACCCCCTCGCTCGCTCCCTCCCTCTCTCCACAGATGTCCTCCAGAGTCGATACCGAGGTATTACAGCTCAAGGAGACTTTGGACAAGGCAGTGGCCGCAGCATCTTTCGAGGAGGTGGCAGATGTTCTCACAGCGCTGAGCAAGATCCAAGTGACAATGGACCTGCTAAGGACGACTAAGGTTGGCATCAGCGTGCATGCGGCTAAGAAGTGCCCTGAGGCTGCGGCGCAGGCGAAGGAGCTACTGGGTCGGTGGAAGAGAGCCCTGGAGCCCGCGAAGGCAGCGAAGGAAGCCCCTACAGAGGAGAAGACAGCAGTGGCGGTAGGGGCGGTAGGGGAGGTGAAGGCGACGGTAGTGGCGAAGACTCCAGAGTGGCAGGGGACGAAGACGATAAAGCTCCGCCCTGCGCAGCCCATCCCGCTGCGCGACGCTGAGGGCTTCTTGAAGTTCAAGGACTGCCCGCACTTCAGCCCCAACCTCACGCCCAAGGAGGTGCTGCAGCTGGGCTCCTTCGGGGGTACGTACTTTCGCACAATCCGCTCCAAAGTAACGGGTCAGTCCTACTCAGACGCGTGGAGGGAGTTCCCAGGGGACTGGTTTGACAAGCTGGACGTGCGGAAGCAGGTGGCCTCGCCTGTCTACGACCCCTCCAAGAATACATACAAAAAGAACTGCGGTGGCGACCTTGATATGTGGGAGGGGTCGGGCTGGATCACAGATATCGACCCATTTGGATGGTTCCAGTGGTACTGCCGCTTCTACTTGGGCCGCCGGTGCGCAGATGATGAGCGCCAGATAGGCAGGGCGAATGGGGTTATGGGTCCCAAGGGACGTTTTCGCAGCCAGCTCGTCGGCAAGATCGTGAATGCTGGGAAGCCGCTCAAGATAGGTCTGCAGGACTTCAACATCAGCCCGGTTGTGCGCCAGACACTGCAGGTAATGGGTAGTGGTAGGGGAAGCAGTAGTGGCAGTAGTGGCAGTAGTGGCAGTAGTGGCAGTATCAAAACCTCCTTCTTCCTTAACCCCCCCTCCCCCATTCAACAGCACTGGGGCTATCGGCTAACCCTTCCAGCTCTGGAGGCGGGCGCCGCTGCGAGGGGGAAGTAGCTAGTTCGTGTTCGATTCTGCTTCATATCCCTACGTATCATCATATCCCTTACGTATCATCATATGTCTACGATCTGCGTACAATCACATCCCTACGTATGCTGGGAATAGAAGCAAGACAAATATGTTGTAATAGTGTTGTAATGTTCCATACTTCTACCTTCATAAAGGGTTTAAATAAGTAAACCGGCACACAACGTATTCAATATGTGAATTCTATATAAGTGGGCCGAGGTACTGGATCACAGCTCCTGCGGCACTGCGTAACGCACACGCACTCTGGGCGCAGCAGAGGTCTTGCCCTTCGCGCCCAGGTTCTCGTCCAGCTCGTCTATCGCATAGGGAATATGCATCCCCGCCGCCTGGCCCCGAATGGCCACGCTCGCTGCCCCCTGCCCCCTGCCCCCTGCCCCCTGCCCCCTGTCCCACATTCGCAGCCCACCCCACTCCTGCGCCAGTCCCCACCCACGCCCCCACCCCTGCACTCACCCACCCGTCCTGATGCCAAGCTGAAGCTGTGTCCAGCAGGACTTCGTCGTCCGACCCCTTGCTGTCCCCCGCATTCTCCCCCCCCCGAAGCCCCGTACCAAGAGCAGCCCCGCACTCGCACCCATCTTGGGCTGACACTTCTCCGGCTGACACTTGTGCACCTGCAGCACATCCTTGATCCACAGCAGCAGCTCGGCCAGCTGCTGCGGGGAAGTTCCGTGCGCCGTGCGCGGGTAGGTGCGGAGCTGCACGTCGAGCTCGCGCAGCAGCAGATTCGCAGCTGTTTTGCTGCCCCAGTCTGGCCTGATCAGAGGATCTGCCTACCATGCATCACCATCCATGGGCACCCTCCCGCGGGCCGAGGTTAACCGCGCACGAGGAAGGGGCCGATGGAGAATACTGCGCGCAGTCATTCCAGCAGGTCCTGTCGAAGCTGATCACTCCATCCTGGTACTTGTCTTCCCGCTCGAACAGGCCTGCAGGAATGGCCGTCAGCTTGTCCGGGTGCATGGTATTGAACCACGCCTGCATCTCCTCGTAAGTGATCGCCATGTCCCGGTTTGCGTCCATCTCTGAGAAGACGTTGGGCTCCTCCTTCACGGGCAACCGGTCAGCCCCAAATCACCATGAAGAGAAGCCTCGACCAACGAAGTGCGGGATCCCTTCCGACACTCTCCATCTACTCTCCATTTAGTTGCCTATAAATACCCTTTGTTTCCAACATAATTACACGTAGCATCGCCAGTCGTCTGCCAGTTCGGTAGGCAGCTGCACTTATAGCTCAGCGGTAGAGCAATTGATTGCAGCTCAATAGGTCCCTGGTTCGAGTCCGGGTGAGTGCTAAACTTCCTTTTTGCCCTTTTGTCATTTTT